AAATTTCAGCTGAGCTATGCTTCAAGGTGAGTCATTTGCACAGGGGAAGGTTCCACTGATTTTAATGTCAGCAAGGGTCTGTAATGAGAGGATGATTGGCTATTAAAATCAGGTAAAAGGAGGTTACCATTGGAGTTGCATGGAAATGGCCCTTGCCCCTTGTGATGGTAAGTCGTCAAGAAAGTGAGAAGTGCACAGGAGTGCGATTAGGGTGACGTAATGTTTTATGTGGGGTTTGGAAGAATGCTCCTGTTCCTACTAACCAAAAAGGAAACTTAAGAATTATCATAAATATACCATTTTTAGTCTAGATTACAATTGCTGATAGGATTAGAAAATAAGTATTGTTAAATCGGGTAATGGGTTGAAAGGGTTCATGTTCATGTTAAATCGACACCACCCATTCCACTGATATTACACTTAGCTTGTGGGCTAGCTTTCAGAGGGAGCAGATAAAAATGTACCAGCAACCTAAGGTCCTAATAGATATGCCTGAGCAAATGTAGTTCTATTTATTGCTATCATGCATTAGACCTTCTTGTTATTTAACAGCAGTGACTCTTTTGTAGACACTCTACTCTGGCATATCCTCTATAAGTAATCACTGGACAGGTCCAATCGAAAGCAAAACTAAAGGAGAACTGGTGATGGTAAACTACCTCAAATAACCTATACCCAATTTTATACACTGATCGAGCTAGCAAATACCTCAGGCAACCGGAGTAATAATCTGGTAAAATATCATATGGTTGCGGCAGTGTGTATCTGACATGCACATGAGGTGATGAAATCCTGAAGATCCAAAAAAAATTGAGCAAATAACTTTATCATTTTAACAGCGTTTTGCTTTGAGAAGACAGTCATCAGCTGACTATTAATAGGTCCAGGCAACAGGCCATGAGGGGGGTCGTATCTGCTGACTGTCCTACCTCTCCCACAGTTACATTTGAGCATGGGTGTCATTGGAGAGGGAGCACGCAGTGTCCGCACATGCTCTTGATGCTTTTAGAAAGACATGGGCACTGTGGGGGATAAAGTGCTCTATTTCCCCCTCCCACTCCATTTTTGTTTAGACCCCTCCTCACTTTTTCTTTAATGTCAGCATTGTCCTTACCAGGCTTTGCTTGTTAATACACAATTAGCCACATGAGTGGTTTTCTGGTGGGGGAAAAAAATAGCTTGATAAAATCCAACAGTGCTTGAGATATACATCCAACATTCCTGGCATCACTCTGGCACTGAAATTTGTGACGTTCTCTTAAAAGATTGAGCAACAGGCAGACTATTTTCCCAGAACAGGTTACCTGCTGGCAGGTGACAGGCAGTTAATTAAGGGAGATAAATGGCCTACTAAAGCTTACAATCAGACATCAATTGAAAGCCAAAGTCTAACACCCTCCCCATCTACCTGAGTTTAGCTGCAACCTCAGGCTATCTTCAGAAGAGAGATAGTAGGAACTGCAGATGCTGGAGAATCCGAGACAACAAGGTGCAGGGCTGGATGAACACAGCAGGCCAAGCAGCATTATAGGAGCAGAGAGGCTGACGTTTCGGGCCTAGACCCTTCATCAGAAAAGGGGGAGGGGAAGGGCGTTCCGAAATAAATAGGGAGAGAGTGGGAGGCGGATAGAAGAGGGATAGAGGAGAGGATACAAACAGGTCGAAGAGGCGGGGATGGAGCCAGTAAAGGTGAGTGTAGCTAGGGAGTTAGGAAGGGGATAGGTCAGTTCAGGGAGGACGGACAGGTCAAGGGGGCGGGATGAGGTTGGTCGGTAGGAGATGGAAGTGCGGCTTGAGGTGGGAGGAAGAACAGGTTAGGGAGGCAGGGACGAGCTGGACTGGTTTTGGGATGCGGTAGGGGGAGGGGAGATTTTGAAACTTGTGAAATCCACATTGATACCATTGGGCTGCAGGGTTCCCAAGCGGAATATGAGTTGCTGTTCCTGCAACCGTCGGGTGGCATCGTTGTGGCACTGCAGGAGGCCCAGGATGGACATGTTATCTGAGGAATGGGAGGGGGAGTTGAAATGGTTCGCGACTGGGTTTCAAAATCTCCCCTCCCCCGACCGCATCCCAAAACCAGTCCAGCTCATCCCTGCCTCCCTAACCTGTTCTTCCTCCCACCTATCCCCTCCTCCCACCTCAAGCCGCACCTCCATCTCCTACCGACCAACCTCATCCCGCCCCCTTGACCTGTCCGTCCTCCCTGGACTGACCTATTCCCTTCTTAACTCCCTAGCTACACTCACCTTTACTGGCTCCATCCCCGCCTCTTCGACCTGTTTGTTTCCTCTCCACCTATCCTCTCTTCTATCCCTCTTCTATCCGCCTCCCACTCTCTCCCTATTTATTTCGGAACCCCCTTCCCCTCCCCCTTTTCTGATGAAGGGTCTAGGCCCGAAGCGTCAGCCTCTCTGCTCCTATGATGCTGCTTGGCCTGCTGTGTTCATCCAGCCCTGCACCTTGTTATCTTCAGAAGAGGATCACTGGCTTGATGATGGTCCAGCCATTTTTAAATTCAAAAATTTAGACAGAACGCCATTTCAAACTTCTTTCTTTATCTGAACTGCTCCTTCAGTAATAGAGAGCCTCCTACTGACCCATTAATGGTAAAAGACCTCCCCATTGGCCCTTCAGTCCTAAACAGCTTCTTATTGGCCCTTCAGTGCTAGAGGGCTTCTTATTGGCCCCTCAGTGCCGTAGGATTCCGTACTGGTCCTCTGGTGGCAACCCACACCCCTATTGTCACTGATTTTCTAGAATGGCCTCTTCCACCCATTGAAGCTTCCGATCGATTCCTTCGCCAACGCCGGTCTTTCTGACACCCCCAGCAACACGCTGTCCCAACACTGGCCCTTCAGTTTCCAGAATTCATTCACTACCTTAAATTTGATGCTGATCTGTCCTCTCATCACTAATTGTCCAATTTGGAGGAAATCACTGTCAAGTTAGATAGATTTTGAATCTATACAGAAGTCAAGAGTCAAGGGGACAGGCAGGACAGTGGAGATAAGACCACAATCAGAGCAGCCACAGCTTTATTGAATTGCAGAACAGGTTCAAAAAACCTGAACGGCTAAGTCAAACTTCCACTTCGTATGTTCTTAAATGACAGTTTCCCTGATGTCAGTACCTGATCCAAACCCTTGTCTGATCAAATACGACTACCCAAAGCCTGACTAAAATTAGGACGCTTTTACTTATCAGTTGTGGTGATTATTTTTTGCTGAGAAGATAAACAAAATACTTTGTAGAAGAGTCACAGAAAAGCTAACATTTCCAAATGTGAGGGATTTCCTGCTTTCAGTGCTATTTAGCCATTTAAAGAGCTAATGAAAGCATGTAGTCCAGTTTAATTTGTGTTTAGCTTTTATGTACTTTTAGCATAAACTTTTAACAATCTTTCAGTGGTATGAAATTAAATAAAATTGATATTTTTACTGGAGTTGACTTCAGATGGTGGATTCACTGTTGGAGGAAGAGTACAATAATGGTTTATCAATCAGTAGATTAAATCGTCAGTAAACCCTACATAGCCCAATGTGCCTAAACAGCAACAAGTCAATTTAATTTAACAAAAGTTCAAATAAAGATGGTTAAGATTCAATAGCTCTGAAACATCAACCCTTTTTGTTCAATACTCAGAATTGTTACTTATTCATTTTGAGCCCTTTAAATCTTTTACATAATGAATCTTGCTTGGTTTATTGGCAGGCATGTTAGTCATGTTACTGAATAGATGATCTTGCATGACAACTGTTGTTCGAAGGGTCAGCAATGCAAAACATTGCAATGTTTTTCAATGTGATAGATCATACTGCTGGATTTCTGAGTCAGAGTGACCAAACCTTACGAAATAAAATAAGACTGATTGGATCATAGGACTGACAGCAGAAAGGCAGAATGATTGTAACCAACTATGTAAGTGGGCAGGAGAGGTGATGAGAAACAAAAAAATTGCCAATGCTGGAATCCAAGGTAGACAAACAGGAAGCTGGAAGAACACAGCAAGCAAGTCAGCATCTGGGGGAAAGGAGAAATCAACGTTTTGGGTATTACCCTTCTGCAGGACTGGACTACCAGTCCAGTCCTGAAGAAGGGTACTACCCAAAACGTTAACTTCTTTCCTCCAGATGCTGCTAGAAGAGGTGACCAACAATCCACCATTGACCATATCTAACAAAACAGAATCTAAGCATTGCCTCTTGACCTTCAATGGCATTACCATCACTGAACTATCCACTATCAATATATTGAGTGTTCCAGTGACCAGAAATGAAACGGACCAGCCATATAAATATGAGTGCAGCTCAAAGACGAGGAATTCTGTAGCGAGTAACTCACTTCCTGACTCCCCAAAGCCTGCTCACCAACTGCAAGGCACAACTCAGGAGTGTGATGGAATACTCCCCACTTGACTGGATGGGTGCAGCCCCAACAACACTCAAGAAGCTTCACACAATGCAGGACAAAGCAGCCCGCTTGATTGGTACCACATCCACCACTTTCAACATTCAAGGCACCACCTCCTCAAGGGCCAATTAGCAATGGGCAGTAAATATTGGCCCAACCAGCGGCTCCATGAGAACGATTTTAAAAAAACAAGAACGGCGTGCAGTGGGATTTAAAGCAACTTATTTTGTGATGTCATAACTTTAACATCTCTCTTCTCAAATCACTCAGCAAAGAACATAAGGAGCTGAAGTAGGCAATTCAGCTTCTGAGACTCATTCTTTCACGGTCAGTCCTAGAGATCTGGAACAATGGGATTACTTAAGGCACTAGGGACAAAGGATCACATCAAGGAGCACCCCCGCAAACACTGAACACAGTGGCATGCCATTTTTCCAGCAAATCCAGCCTGCCGTGAATTTGACCTTGTAGTGGACATTCAGAGTGTCATCGGTCATAATAGTAAAGCACTCACTATCATTGGGAGGTGGGTATTTGAGAGGTAGAAAGGCGGCTCTAGAGAGGCGCAGCGCCATGATCTAGGCACCGCAGGCTTCAGGCTGGTGTAGGCCGCGTTGCTATGGCAGCTGGGCGGATGTGAGGTTCGGCGTGTTTCCGGCGGACGGAGGGAGAGGGAGCGGCCTGTTATGTGTCTGTGTGTTTTTTTTCTCTCCATCCTGGTATTTTGTCATCCTGGTCTCTTGGACGTTGTCAAAAAGTGCCCGTACTTCAAAACAGGAAGTAAGTAAATGCAGCAAAGATTGTGATGGAGGCGGCAGGGACAGACAGAGAAAGGGAGAGAAGAGGCTCCGGGAGAGGGGCGCGGGCCGCTCCTCACAACATGGCGCCGGCTGGCCGCCCTCCCTCCCTTACAATAGACCCACCGCCCGCACTGGGCCCTGGGCACACCCTCTGCAACTCGGTCACTGTCAGTCTGGGGAACGGTGTTCCCCCAACCCCGGGTCAGTGCTCATTCCCCCCCCCCCCCCCCTGTCAGTACACATCTTCCCTTCTCCTACCCGTCCCCAAAGGTCGCTGCTTATCTCCCCCCGCCATGGTCTGTGCCCATTCTCTTTCCCCCACCAATTGCCTACCACTTCAACACACTGCCTAGTTCCCTGGCCAACATCTGTCTCAGGCTTGTTGCAGTGCTCCAGCAAAGTTCGGTGCAGCTGGAAGAACACCCACCTCATTTTCCACTTGGGTATTCTACAGCCTCTGGACTCAATATTGAGTTCAACAATATTAGGGCCTGAGCACCCTCTTCCATGTCCTTGCCCCAACCCCACACACACCAGACCTTATTATCACAGGTCTGCTATTACACACCACCCATTGTTAGCCACTAATAGTCGCCATTAGTAGCTATTCATTCTCCTAGGCTGACCATTATCCACTCCTTTGTCCAACTGTTTTTTTTTGCTCTCTTTGGGCTCTATTTCCACCTGTCTACCTTATCCCCTCCTGTCTACCCTATTTTATGCATTTAAAAAAACAACTCTTTCCTAGCTATCATCAGTTCTGAGGGTCACTGGACCCAAAAGGTTAACACTGATTTCTGTCCACAGATGCTACCAGACCTGCTGAGCTTTTCCATCAATTTCTGTTTTAGTTTCAGTACCTGTTGTTCCTTTCCCTGGGGTCAGTGCCCATTTTCCCTCTCCTCTTCCCCCCCCCCAAGGTTCAGTGCCCAGTCTCCATTCCACTTCTTCCCCTTTGGCTGTTGCCTGCTCCTGGGTCAGTGTTGCCCCAGTTTGGGGTTAGTATCTACTCCTCTGCCTGCACAGACTGCCAGGTCGGTGTCCTCTCCAAGGTCATAGTCAGACCCTGTGCCTGCATCAGCCCCCTTGTTACTGGGTCAATCAGTCTTGAGTCAGTGTCTTTTCCGATCATTGAATGACTGCCAGCCTTGTCCACTGCTTCATCAGCTCCAATCTCTTAGTGGCTTATCATCAGCTAGACCTGGTTTAACAGACCAAATGTTATTTTTCTGTTTGTTTTAATATGCAATAAAATTTGGTATTTAATGTACAATGTTTTGTTTTCTTTGTAATGTTCCTTGTTGCCACAATTTTGTTTAAAATATGTCTATATTTGTATTGTATTTATGTATACATCATTCTTAAATGTTTGTGTCATGTAAAAATGTGTATCACATTTGACAAAATTATACCTAAATGCTCATAGATTAATCTACAAGGACAATTTATATAATCTTTGGTTGTATTCTCTTGAATGTAGAAATTTAAGCTGTAATTTGATAGATACTTTCAAGGTGTTTAAGGGAACTGTTAAGGTAGATACAGAGGATCTATCTCTACTGGTTGAGTCCATAATTCAAGCCAGACTTATCATAAGATTTCGAAACACTTCACTATATATTGGGTGCTACAAGTTTAAAACTGTCTTCTGCAAGTGGCAGTCAATTCTAGATCAATTATAAATTTTAACACTTGGATTAGTTGATTTGTAATTCAAATATATTAAAGGTTGGGGTATAGAGTTAAGTCACAGATGAAGCATGGTCTGATTAAATGGCAGAACAGGCTTGAGAGGCAGATTATGTAATAGAGTAGTTGCATGTCTTGGTCTTTGCTCGCTGCTGTAAATGTACTCCTGATGACACAAGCTTAGTGTTCCAAGTTTTTATTCCAGAATTATGTTAAAGCCACAAGAACAGATTGAAATAAAAGCAGAAACTGCTGGAGAAACTAAGGAGTGTCTCAACATCTGTTGAGAGAGAGAGAGTGTGACATTAAATTTTGAGTCTGAAATCACTTGTCTTCAGCTTCAGAAGAAATGTTGAATTCTGTGAATTGTTTTTCTGTCCATAAAAGCTGCCAGATCTGCTGAGTTTCTCCAGCATTTTCTGTTTTTATTTCAGATTTCCAGCATCCTCAGTATTTTGGTTGTTTGAATGCCACAGGCATTTGCCCAGGAACTCAAAGTGCTACCTTGGGAATGTTTTTTCTTCAGTCTAAGAGCAATTTTTATTTGAGAGGATTGTCTAGTTTTGTATGGATTTGTGTCCAGATTTCTTCTTGGCGTTTTTATAAATAGGTGGGTGATAAACTTGAGTCAGATATATAGCATGGAAACAGATCATTTGGTTCAATTCATCCCTGTTGACCAGATATCCTAAATAAATCTGGTGCCATTCGCCAGCATTTGGCCCACATCCCTCTAAACCCTTGCTATTTATATACCCTTCCAGATGTCTTTTAAATGTTGTACCAGCTCCACCAGTTCCTCTGGCAGCTCATTTCATACACACACCACCCTCCGCGTGGAAAAAGTTACCCGTTAGGTCCCTTTTTATATCTTTCCCTATGCCCTCTAGTTTTGGACCTCCCCCTCCCCCGGGGGGAAAGACCTTGTCTATTTACCGTATCCATGCCTCACATGATTTTATAAACCTCTATAAAGGTCACTGCTCAGTCTCCAACACTCCATGGAAAGTTGCTCCAGTCTGTTCAGCCTCTCCCGAAAGCTCAAACCCTCCAACCCTGGCAACGTCTTTGTAAATCTTACCTGAACCCTTTCAAGTTTCACAACATCCTTCCTATAACAAGGAGACCAGAATTGCACACAGTATTCCAATAGTAGTCAAATCAATGCCCCGTACACCCGCAACATGACTTCCCAACTCCTGTACTCAATGCATTAATTGAGCATACCAAACACCTTCACTATCCTATCTACATGTGACTCCACTTTCAAGGAACTATGAACCTGCACGCCAAGGTCTCTCTGTTCAGCAACATTCCCCAGGACCTTACTATTAAGCGTATAAGTCCTGCCATGATGTGCCTTTCCAAAATGCAGCGCCTTATATTTATCTAAATTAAACTCCATCTGTCACTCATTGGCCCATCTGATCAAGATCCAATTTAAGATTTTTAGTGAGATATTGTTGGGAAATGAAATCTCAGGGTCATCATCACTGCAATAAAATTACACAATATAATAAATGTTTCCAAGTCAGAAGTCACACAATACCAAGTTATAGTCCAAAAAAATCAAAATTATCTCTCTGCCTTAATTAATTGGATCATAGGTCATCCCTTCACTTGCGTTTCAGCTATTGTCACTTTACTCACACCATTTGACACTTTTAATCACCTGCAGAGACTTGTTATTCATCCTGTTGATACTCCATGCACACCGTTTGTATTATCTTTTGACACTCATTACCTCAAATTATCTTGCAATTATCTCTCTGCCTATAAATTCTGTGTCTGTGTACTTCCCTCCACTTCACTTGATGAAGTCAGAAATCCCATGACACCAGGTTCTTGTCCGACACGTTTTTTGAAATCAAGCTTTCAGAACCTCACTCCTCCTTCAGGTGTGAGTGAGAGAGGTAGTATCAGATACAGAATTTAGAAGTAAAAGATCAATGGTTCATACCATTGATGAGGATGTACTAAACAAACCTGAGATGCTGTCAAATCTTTAGTCAGTTAGAAGGTTTTAATTGATTAATATGTATATGTAAATCCCTGAGTTCCTTTTGAGTCACGGTCCTGAGAGAACTAAAGGTTTTATCAGTTTAAAGAAGAGTTGACATTTTAGGTCAGACAATGCATGTTAGGTGTGAGGCCTTGTTTAGAATCTTTTAGTTTGGAGTTAGACTGGTTTTATTTCTAAAGTAGGAATTTATAAAACGCCACATTGACTGTCTATAAATTGTGTGCTTTTTGAACAAAATGGAATGTCTCTGCAAATACTTGATGAAGAAGCAGTGCTCCAAAAGCTTTGATTTCAAATAAATCTGTTGGGCTATAACCTGCTGTCGTGTGACTTCGGACTTTGTCCACCCCAACTCCACATCATAACAATGTTTCTAAGCAATGCAATATATATATTTTGTTTTTAAAAATCTGGGCATTAAGCATGGCTGTAGAAAGATTAGTACAGTTATTTAACCCCACGTAATAACCACAGGCTTTTTTTAAAGAATATTCCATGGAGCCAAGATGTCTGAAGGTGAGGCGAGGGATGGTCTTTAAAGATAACCAAATTGGAAGAGTAGATGATTTGTGCAGGAACAAAGTGACACAATCTTAAGGGTTAAATATTTAAACAAGAATATTCCTCCAAGTCCTATGCATAATAGGAAGATTAGATATTGATTTATTTATTGTCACATGTACTGAAATATACTGAAAAGCTTTGTTTACGAGTGGTAGAACATAGAACATTACAGCGCAGTACAGGCCCTTCGGCCCTCTGTTGCACCGACCTGTGAACCAATCTGAAGCCTGTCTAACCTACACTATTCCATTATCATCCATATACTTATCCAATGATCATTTAAAAGCCCATAAAGTTGGCGAGTCTACTACTTTTGCAGGCAGGGCATTCCACGCCCTTACTACTCTCTGAGTAAAGAACCTACCTCTGACATCTGTCCTATATCTAGCACCCCTCAATTTAAAGCTATGTCCCCTCGTGCTAGCCATCACCATCCAAGGAAAAAGGCTCCCACTGTCCACCCTATCTTATCCTCTGATCATCTTGTATGTCTCTATTAAGTCACCTCTGACCTTTCTTCTCTCTAACGAAAAGAGCCTCAAGTCCCTCAGCCTTTCCTCATAAGACCTTCCCTCCATACCAGGCAACATCCTGGTAAATCTCCTCTGCACCCTTTCCAATGCTTCCACATCCTTCCTATAATGCGGTGACCAGAACTGTACGCAATACTGTACGGCCGCACCAGAGTTTTGTACAGCTGCAAC